TTGTTTTTTTTCGATTGTAACCGAAAAGTCGTCAATTATTTCGAATTGAGCTAGTAGTGGATTTTGAAGAACGCACTTCATTCTACAAAACAAGACGCTTTCCAGGATTCTACGATATTCTTTCCAAAAATTATAGGATAGATGAAAAGAGAAAAAACGGTAACGCACAGAAATTCCGGTAGCAGAGTTACGCGTTTTTCATGTGATCGGGATGCACTTTTGATCAAACACAACAGAATCCAATGTGGTTTTTCGAGCTCTTTCTAATGATGGCGTCAATTTTCCCCCAAAATGGCATCATTTTTCCCTTAATCGTTTTTACGCGTAAATTTTGTGTTTTATATCGTGATTGGGATATATATCCCGATCAGAATATAAAACACAAAATTTTTCAGAATTTTTCAATTTTTCTTTCATAATAAATGTTTTAAAAAATTAAAAAGCATGTTTTCTTCCTCACCTTGATGCGCTCTATCCAACCATGTATATATAGACGAGAAAAAGAATCTTACTCGAACTTTGAATTTTCAGCACCATAGAAGTTATTATAAAATGTTTAGGCAGCAATTATGACTTAAGAGATTAATTTTTCTACAACTTTTGAGAGACTTACATTGTTCTTTTTAAAGATTTTCAATATCCTGCGACATAATAAAATGAACGAAAACTTGGAACGTGCTGTTGTTAGAAACAGGGTGAACTCATTTGCATAAAAAGTAGCGCAGATATCCAATTTTTCATCCAGTGGTGACTGCAAACACGAAAGACTTGCCGAATAATTTAGCAGGTAGCTTTTATATATTTTGATTCAGCTGCAAAATGGATATCTCTGAATACTCAGTGGTTTAGTCTGATTGATTCGGAAAGAGAGGACAAAACTGGGCCAGCCTTTCCATCATATTTTCTGGTGTTAATATGCATAACAATCATGCAAAAATATAATCATAGGAAACTGCGTGGCTGGAATAACGTCAAAGAGTAATACCATAATTTTAAACAAGTCAATTAAAGCAATTTTTTCAGCAAAGGAGATGTTTAGAGATCTGACTGTCATAACGGTCGATAATCGACTAATCCAAGAGTTTTATATAATATATTTCGAGCAGCTTCTTCTTACGATGAAACATTACTTTGATTCTTGAGAAGGTTTTCTAGAAATCTTCCGCAGTAAAAGAACATTGTTTACTATTTTCAAGTAAAAAACCATGTTGAGCAGAGAAAGTTAAGTATATCTTGATATTCTGACATAATTTGGATGGACCTTAACTGAGTTATGACTTTTTTAATTCTAATCCAAAATACGCAAAATGGATTTTATCACCTAATATAGGCTTTCACTAGGTTTCTGGAAAGTTTTAGAAAAACAAATGTTGCCACAAGATTGAGGGTGCCCGGTTACCTGTATTTCCATTCGTTTTTGAGACTATCACACCTAAAGAAATATTGTTTCGGGAACTCTTAGAAAATTACGGAATTACGGTAGTAGCGTTATACGTCTAAGTCGATAAGCATCGTCACAAAGTGACTTGTCCAATGTCATATCTGATGCTCGCAAGACTGGTGCTTCTAGCTTCATTTTAATGGGATTGTAATGTACCTAGATCAGTAATAATGTTCACAACTAGATGATGAAAAATGTCAGACCTAAAAGATAACAACTGCATGTGTAAAAGTGTCATAAAATTCATATGCCGAAGAATTCTTGCTATTTAAAAAATCCAGTTCAGCTAATTGTGGAGCTTTGAAATCGTATTTTGCTAAAGGAATCCATACTTAATCATCTAATACTTTACACTCCTCATTTAGCATATACATTTACATGATACTGTGAATTTGGCTCACGATGTGATTGCAATAATCAACAAATCATCAAAGGGAATACGATCAACGTAGGTAATTGTTTTGGTATAACTCAGCAATAGAAAATGCAAAAAAACGTTGAATTTTTAGCGAATACAAAACTGATATATGAAAAAAAATTGTTTCATTTAAGAATGTTTCGTCGAAAGTTTTTTTTGCTACATTATTACAAAGTGTTCGAAATGCACTGCCAACGAGAAAAGTGAATATACATCTTGTGAATATGTTCAGTCGTACAATAACTTGTCAACGTTTGACTTTTATTTCTGTAGAAAAACTGATTGGAACAGTGCGACGAGCCGAATAAACGATGTTTAACATTTAACATACGTCAGTTTATTAATGCGAATCCATCCTTAAATGATCAATTATTGTTAAAAAAATTTATGGTAGATGTTTCAGAAATATTGTATATATTAGGAGACAGATGTTCGAGAAATATCATCGAAAAAGAACTCAAAGAGCATTTTCTCTTACTTCTTTTTAGTCATGAAAATAAATTGTGATTGTTATTGGTGTTTTTTCTGTTTTTCAAGGATCGAATTGTAATCTCTAAAAAAAAACTAGGTAGTTAAAAAAAATCCGTAGATTATTCATAAAAACTTATTGAAGTTTATAAAAGAAAAATTTATCAAAAACAGTTTCAGTTTTAGAAGTTACAACGATTTTTTGCGTTATACAACAAAGTAAAAGAAAGGTTTATGAAAAAAGCTAATTTGACTTCAGAAAATCATAAATATCGAAGACGGTACTTTTGTTTAGATCACCGAAGCATAATTCTTTAAAAATCTTACATTTTCGTCAATATAAGGTCTGGAACTATAAAAAAAATTCATGATCACAATTTGATACGTCGAACTGAATAAAATCATAAATAATATATGTCAAATGTGTCATCATCATAAATAATAAATAATATATGTCAAATATATGTCAAATGTTTTGACTTGATGTTGACTCATAATCAATCGAGCTCTCGTAATTAGTTAGAGAAACTTAAAGTGGAAAATGAGCTGAAAAATGAGCTTAGTAAGAAACAAAATTTTTTCTGTTGAAGCTAAAAAGCATAGTTGCGAGAAACATACATATTCTAAAACTAGACATTTCGTTCTATACAATCGTTAAAAATAATTTGCTCTAGTGCTTTTGGTTTTAGAAAGGAAAAGTTTTCTTTGTATGCTTAATCGTTTTCCGAAGATGGGTGCTCGGTATAGTGAATACGCACACTTTAGCACAGCTCCAAATTTCATTCAACCTATCAAAATATTCTTCTATGTATTGCGCATGTATGTCAGCCCGAAATGCTTCTGGACTGAGTTATAGGTTTTCCAAAAAATCCCTTGTTTTTCAAGTAAAATCCAATCTTTTCAGATCAGAAGCACTTTTATTAAAAACTAATAACATATTTTGATAAATACTGCATCGAATGATGTACATATGAAGTATTTCTGAACAAAAAATAATTTCGATTCAGTGTAATACGACGGCTTTAGTGTATGGACGCAGCAATTCTGACTCGGCACGTGGACATGTGCTTGAAAAGTGGTACGAAAGTCTCTAAACACTCTTTTCACAGGTTTTCGTATGTGCTGTTTTCAATGATACGGTTTTCAAACTTCTAAAGTATGTTAAGTCTAAGTATACAGGTTTTCCAGTGGATTTATACAGATCCAGTCTCTGGAAAACCTGTGCAAACATACTTTGAAAGCCGTATCAATGAAATGAGCACATACGAAAACCTATAAAAAGAGTGTTTAGAGACTCTCGTATCGCTTTTCTAGCAAACGTCCACATGTCGAGTTGAAATTGCCCACTGTACACAAATGGATATAATTATCACGCATCAAATATCATATGTAAATACATTAAACAGATGCACAATCTAAGCTATCACACTCGATGTAATAATTTGTATAAAGTAAAACAAATATTCGGGAAACAACTAATTATCAGTCCTCTTTCGTGCCAAAAATCGCCAAAATCCGGACACACACTCGACGTTGACCTGCGAAAAACCATACTAATTAATTTAGTCCGAAGACAACAAAGTATTTTCGGGTTAGCAAAAATAATAGAATACAAAGAGAAATAAGTAGAATTGTCGACATTGCTTTCCATCAGATATTAGCCAGCAAACGATTTTCAAATAATTCATTAATTCGAAATGAATCTCAACTGGTTGATAAGACTATACGACATTTCATGAATTAAGAAAACCTATTTTGTAATAATAATGTACAGATTTGAATTACGGTATTTGAATCAAAATATCGTGCATTCGACGAATGACGTGAAACTTCAAATTAAGAAGGTTGTATCATTAACTATCTGGCTTGAATAATAAACGATTTCCATTTCTGATAGACCACTAGAAAACCATCATCTCTCATTTACACGAGCGTCTAAAGTGAAATACCCGAAATCTTCTTCTTTAGCTCTACAAAATAAGAAAGGCGAAGAAGGTAGGACATAAATAAACCTTTTCTATGAGTCAATAACTTTATTCGTATGTCTCTATCGACACATGCTGTCTCAATTGATCGACGAGTGCATCCGATGATCTTCGAAAACTTCGATTATTTAACTTATATCTTGGCCATGACCACCTTCTCGATATGCTCATCAACTGAACCGTCATTTTTGAGATTAGTCTTTGTCCTGGTGAGATACCCATCGTTATTACACAATTTAGGTGTCCCACTGCAAGAAACTCAATGACAGTCTAGCGTAACAGTGACGCTTTTTGACAGGAAAAAAAAAGATGCATGTGTCATTTTTTTCTTTCCATAGTTGTGAAATTACTCATCAAAATGTCGCAATGCCTCACCTCTCACAACAGCATGGCTCACTTATATAATCTTCTCCTCTTTGGCTGACAAACATACAATTCAAAATAAAACTTTTTTCATAACGACAAGAACTAATGGCGAATGGTAATGGTGTATCCATGGAACTCGATCGTGTGGGAGTCAAGATTGATTACAGAACTAGACCACAACGTTTCTCTTGTCAAGATCCAGAAGCACTCGCCACTGGACTACGTCATCTTGAACAACATGGATACACAGTTATATCGGATGTACTGGATGAGACCGAAGTAAACACCGCCAAGAATCTAATTTGGCAACATTTAGAGGGACTCAAACCGCCATATAAGATAAAACGTGGACAACTTCATACATGGAATCAATGGCCGGGTAAACACGAAGCCGGTATTGTTGAAGATTTTGGATCTGGGAATTCACAAGCTCAATGGTTTATTCGTTCTGTACCTGCGGTAAAAAATGTCTTCGCTGAAATCTGGCATACTCGAGAGTTATTGTGCTCTATGGATGGTATTGGTCTATTCAGACCCTGGCATTTGAATCCACAACTTCCACGTAAGAGTGCTAACTCCCGAATCGTATCACTTAGAGTTCTCCATTGTCAACAGAAATAGAGGCTGTGATAAATTACGCAAGAAAAAAGAAGTAAATTTTTCGGATTCTTAGAAGCATTTCAATCGTCTTTTTTTTTGTTCTTCTTTCCGACACACAAAAAGTCGCTAATGGTACTCTCCTTCTTTTCTGAGTTACGAATATGAAATTTTTTAACATGTTGCAATATAGAGGCAAGCGTACTATTGACGTGCGAGCCACCACGAATGTCGAAAGTAGTTCTATAGTCCACGTTTGTAGTCCGTATAATTGTGTATGTGATGAGGTCTTCCTCATACATTTATAAGAAGCAAAGAGTAACCTTAAAATATCTCATTCGAATTTCTTGTTTTCTCTATGGTTATAGAAAGAGGCTTACAAAATGAAAACAATTCATGGAAAACCGTTGGCGCTAATTGGCATGTTGACCAAAGTCCCGTCACAAAACCCAATCGAGTGTGCGTACAAGGTATCATCAATCTGTTGCCAGCTGACGAAACGACCGGTGGATTGATGGTGATACCCGGCTCACATAATCGATTTCATGAATTACTCTCCGGCTGGAGAAAATCGGGAAATAACTGTAAAGTTCCTGTGTATCACGAAATTTTGCAAGAAGGATATGGTTTGTTAGTCCAAGCTGACCCGGGCGATTTGTTATTGTGGGACTCTCGTACCGTTCATTGCAATACACCTTCCTTCGTCACCCCACCGCCACCAAACAACTTAGAAACGCCCAGCTTATTGAGAATGGTTAGTTACATTTGCATGACACCATTAGCGTTCGCAGAGAATCCGGATGAATTAATTGCCGCTCGACTGCACGCATTTCGTTATCGACTGACAACGTCACACTGGCCGCACGAATTTCAGATTATGGGAGGCGAAGTGTCAAGGGGTGAAAATAATATTCAGTTGACAGATTATCAGCGAAACCTAATTTTAGGGATTGATCAATAAAATTTCTTGAGTTAATTTCAACTGTATGGTTCCCCTGTCTGAGAATATTTCATATTTTGGAAGTGAAGGATTTGGTTATTCTCTCGAATTTTTTCCACATGAAATGTCAAAATAGGGTACCGTGTTTTTGAAATCAACATATTGTTAAATAAATATGAATTAATTATATGCAGTCGATGCCACAATTATCAATGCGATGAAAAAAATGTATTATTTTATTTTTTAACCGAAAGGAGTAACGATACTTTGACAGTCTTAAGTGGAATTCTATTCAATTAGACCAGTTTTTATGGCGTCGTTATTATCTGTACGATCACATGGAAGAGCCGTTTTTCAACTGATTGCCATGCACGTTATCTTTGCATCATGCAGCTGGCGACCAATTTCTTTGTTTCACTCCCAAACATTGATATCCAAAAGTTTTCGGTGCCGATGTACACCGGCTAGAACTGTTTTTCAATCAGAAGATTGTACAAAGCGAACTCGAATACAATAATAAGATTGCGCAGCCAATAATTATCTGAGTTTTGTTATATTTATTCGAAGACAAAAGTATAACAAAAGGAGAAAACGATTCCTTTATATTAGTTCTAAGAGAATCCTACATAAATGTCTGAGCATCATTACACCATACCTTAGTAGTATAGAAGAAACTTTTGTTTTTTGCATTATGTCAAATAGAAACCCTGATAAACCAGGTTTTAACAGATGTTGTTGTTGGCGTTGAGGTGGTGAGCATAATGCGTGACGAGATAATGATTTCATTATTGGATCAATTCTAGCATTCGAATCAGCCATATCGTTCGACTGACTACTAGCAGGATTTTTGCCCTGTAAAAAACATGTTGAATATTAAGGATAAAACCTCCTATTATTCTTAATAGTACTCTTGTAAGCGGCACTATACCCGCTTGAATACATGATTAGAGAAATTCAGTTTACATTCTTTATTTTCTGCGCTAAGTTTAGTCTCTGTCGTAAGCGTGTCAATCAGAAATTTGTATTTACTCTTACGAATATCCAGCCGTAATGAGAGATGCTTGGTTTTGATGATGAATCATGGGCTACTATTGAATGGTTACAAACTTTATAATATGGATGATCCAGACACTATACATATAAATGTCTGCAAAGTTTAAATTTTGAGCAGAATTAGTCATGCCATCTTACCTGTGCAGGATTCAGCCTGTTGTCCGGGTTCCATTGTAACATCGAAGTAATTAGATCAATTCCATCATCGTCTGATGAATAAATAATTTCTTTTAAATTTGTTTGTGTACATTGTGGCCAGCAAAAGCTTAATTTATCTGCTAACATATAGCCTTCAGACCATTCCTCCTTTCAATGGAAGAAGTAGTAGTAGAAAAGAGAGAGATATCATTATAGTAACTTACATTTGTCGGTGTGCCTAAAACAGAACAGATTTTGAACATTTGATTAATCTCATTAATACCAGGAAATAACGGCTTTAATGTATAGAGTTCAGCAGTAATACATCCAACAGCCCATATGTCTATGTCGGATTTATAAGACGTAGAACATAATAGCAACTCAGGAGCACGATACCTAACGCATAGATCAAATTAATGATATGAACAGTATTTCACAAACTCATATTACTTACCATCTAGTTGAAATGCTAGAAATAACAATTAACAGATTAGTGTTAATTAAAACAAGAAATGAACGAAATGACTTACTAATTCGTATACGGTGGATAAGAATGTATTTCACGAACCATGCCGAAGTCAGCGATCTTAACTGAGCCAACATTATTACATAATATGTTTTCTGGCTTTAGATCACGATGAAAAAAGCCTATACTAAATAATTGATCATCTAAAATCACGCTCTAGCTATAACTCAGTTGCAAACCATATACCCAATTTGTGTATATATGCCAGTCCTTGAAGAATTTGAAATGTAATATTTCTCACGGATATTTCCGGAAGAAGAAATTTTCTAAAAGAGGAGAAATCAACTAAACTTCTTGCCTATACATAATCTCTAATTTTATACCGTTTTTCTATTAGTTCATAAAGATTCTCAGTCATATATTCAAATACCAAATACAAACGATTATTTTCATATATAACTTCTTTTAATTTGATCACATTTCGATGACGAATTTTTTGTAAAGCCTGCAAACGGTATTAAAATGTAAGACTAAATGATTCGTCTTGTTTTATACCTTCACTTCTTGTAAATTTATACACTCTGCTAATGAGTAGTACTTTTTCTTTAATCTAAATGTAATAAATTATTTGAAGTTTTCCAATCGAAAACTTATCTTAAACTCTACCGTTTGATAGCAAATTGTTCGATTGAATATTTTACTTGTGCTCGTAGCACAGTACCATATTCGCCTGTACTAGATAAACAACAAATCATTTTTTCAATATTTTCTTTAGAAATAAGTCTTTACCCTAGTTCATCTATCAATTGATATTTGTCCATTTTGTTTTGATCTATTGGTAAGCAGAGTTTAGTTGATATTTAATTGGATGGGATACGCTTTTTTCTTATAACAAAAGAAAGTATCTGAAAAAACGGATAAAGTTAAAAGAAATAATCAAGATAAAGATTGAAACATCCTAAATGTGTTATACCTAGCTGGACCTGTGATCTTTTCGTTTAGTTAAGGTTTAGTACCCTACCCTCGTCATAAAAGAAAACCACCCAATATTAGAAGGTCAACCTTAATAGAAGATCAGTCTGAAGCGAAAATTTCTGACAAACCTGCTGTAGGGCAGTTTTTCACCACAAAAAGTGCGATGTGCGAAATCATAATAGAAGGTCATGACCTTCTATTCTGAGAGAGGAGTTAATAGGAAAGTAAGCGGTGTGCTATTTTATATTGAGTATACATTTTAAATGACCTAAAGGTTATTTCGTCTTGCGAATTGTTTCGTAAAAAGGAATACCGAGCGAACAGTCGTGCTGGCAGATATAAAAAACGAGAAATAGTATATATCTTTCTAAAGGACGTACGATGAAAATCAGTCTTTTTGTATCGTTTATTTTCAAAATAATGGAGAATATTCATCGTTCGAATAAAATATTTAAAATAGAGAACGTAAAAAAATGTCATTTTGAGATTCATTCGTCCATTAATTAAGTCAAAAGTTTCCAACTCGTTGACAGTTTTTTTTTTCTAATATATTCATTTCTTAGTTTGATCACATAAAAAAATTATTAACTTGTAAGTTACTTATTCATAATATAAATGTATTCATTTGTGGAAACAGAGAGAGATGAGTCATGTTTGTTACTTTTTAGGATATCGTTATTTGCAGAATAGAATTTGTAGTAATAGCAAAACTATTCGCGTTGTGAAAGTGTGATAGTCATGCAGTACAAAAATTTATTATATCATACACGAAATGAAAAAAACAATAATGATGTCTACTTGGAGGTAAGACAAGGTAATGAGCTTACAAAACAGCGGTTACCAATCCAAATTTATATCTTTTTGTTCAGGAATTGAAAATGTGATTATTCGTACAATGTGTCACAATTTTAAACAAGTACAACGACAACAAACAACACTCACATGCAAGGAACTATATGTTAATACAGATACTCGCATTCTCGATTTAATGAACCGTTATAACAGTGGAATATTATCTTTGAATGATTATTTGATTAAAAAGAAGTAAGACGATTGGTAAGAAAAACTACCACACGTTTCAAAATACAGTGCACTCTCTCCTTTATTGAATAACTTTTGTAATAAAAGAGAGAAAAATCTGCGGTTGTCAACATTATACAGCCAAGACTTAAAGAGATTTGAAAAAATTAGATATTAAAAAACTTCAAAAGACACTTTTCGATCGCATTTTTGGAAAATCAGTTCGATTTTCCAGAAATTAAGTAGTAATCTATTGATTATTTTACATAGGCAGATAGTCCGAAGTGTCTTTTACGAAATGAGATCTTAGCGACCTTTTAGTTTTGCTTGGTTTTTCAGTGTACAGAGTTTTTCCCGAACCATCCTGGTTTGGCCTTTCTCGTGGTCTGACAATCTCAAAACCACAGAATACATAAATAATTAACGCTCCTGCTGAATTTCTTTAAAAATCCGATTTTTGGCCTGAACTACACATGAAAAACGCGTAACTCTGCTACCGGAATCTGTGCCCGTTACCGTTTTTTCTCTTTTCGTCTATCCTATAATTTTCGGAAAGAATATCGTAGAATCCTGGAAAGCATCTTGTTTTGTAGAATGAAGTGCGTTCTTCAAAATCCACTACTAGCTCAATTCGAAATAATTGACGACTTTTAGGTTACAATCGAAATACTAAAAGCCCTAAAAACAAACGCCAATATTTTTGGGGCTCTTCGTATTTTAAGTACAGCATAAAAAGCATTTATTGTACAATAAATTAAAACCTTTGGCACTAGTTTATTTGTCATTCAGATCACTTCACGTTTTCAACAAAGATCACTTCAGCACTCCGTTGAAGGGTGCTATATTTAAAATTCCAAAGTTTGCAGCTTTCCGTGAACGCGTGTTCTAGGGAATTTCTATAGATTCTTTCGCCCATAAGGTGTTTCAAACTAACCCTTACAAGCTAAGATAGATGAAACATAGTATGTATAAATATGCGTGAAAATGTCAAGTGGTTTGAACTAGAAATAACTTAGTTATGAAGATTTTAATTTATCGTACTCCAGGCCAAAAACCGTTTTAAAGAAACTCAGCAGTCAAAGTTATTTACTTTTTATAGGAAAATAAACGTTACCACGCTAGTTAAGAGCATCAATTATCTATGTATTCTGTATTTTTGAGATTGTCAGACCACGAGAAAGGCCAAATCCGGATGGCTCTGGAAAAACCCTGTTTACGAGAAAGCCAAGCAAACCTAAAGGGTCGCTAAGATCTCGTTTTATAGAAGACAATTCGGACTATCTATCTATGTAAAATAATTAATAGATTTCTACTTAATTTCTGGAAAACTGAGCTGGTTTTCCCAAGATCTGATCGAAAACTAAAGTCTTGGCTGTACAATGTTGAAAACCGCAGATTTTTATATCTTTTGCAACAAAAGTTATTCAATAAACGAGAGAGTGTACTATATTTTGAAGCGAATAGTAGATGCTAACTGTCCTTTGCGAAAATTAGAAGCTGACTGAGCGAAACGCAAATAGAATCAGCTAGCTTCTACCTATGACAGTACCGTGGGTCTAAACGCTTAGTAAACTGCTATATACATTTTCTCCCTCAGCAACAAAAATATGTTTCGAATTTTATCCACCTACATTTGTCTGTTACAGTATATTATTACCATTATCGTATCAGCTGATTCATCGTCCTATCATACATTCTACTATAGCTTTCATCATATCAAGCGGATGGATGAAAACATTCGAAAAACAGGATAGAGAAAGAAAGAACACGTGTCTTGAAGTTGAAAGCAATAAGCCAACAAAGCAAGAACGAAAAACGATAATAAGTAGTGTGTATATATATTTCGCATTTAATTTGTGTAGATTAGAGACTCGCTGCTAAAATACTAGTAAAAATACGTGTGAACTACCAGATTTATTTCATTTGACTTGGAATAGAGTGTTCTAACGAGGGAAGGCCCCCAACTGTCCAGAAGCTTTTCGCCCAAAACTTATTGGAAAATAGGTAATCGAGTGTCCTGATTCCGAATATTACATTGGTTTGGGTCCAATTTTAGTTTAAAGACCCGGTTTTTGAAATACTTGGTTTTTGAGTGAAAAACCTTTTGCAATAAAAAACTTTTTGATCCATGAATATGAAAGAGCATATCGCGAAACCCACGTAAAACTGTTTTTCTAGGTTTTAGAGGAGGTTTTGAGCGGGTTTTGAA